TGTTACAAAAATTTATATTTTCACTCACACCAATATTTTTATAAAACTAATTAAAATAAATTTTATATGTCAAATAATTTTCTATATAATCCATAATAGTAGAAACACATCAACTCTTTATCCATATTTGATGCATCTTAAGGTTAATATTTCATTTTATAATGTATACTGTATACATTACGTTTTATTATGTATATACTACACTTGCAATATATATATTAATATTTTTTAAATATTTATATATAAAATGAAATCAAGTATGTTGCATAAATTAATTTGCCGATGAGTTAGAAATGTGTCTCTGTGGCTTAATGACACGAATGTTGTAATTTGTGTTTTAAAGTACTGAGAGAATTGAATGGAAAACATATGATATCTATGTTTCCCAAAACAAATAGTCTTTCTATTTTTTTCTGATATTTTTCTTTTGTTATATAATACACATTATTTTTTACTAGGTAGCTTTCTGTAGATTTCTAATTTATAAGAATGTTCTAGAGTTCTAATGATCTTCAAATTCCATATGTACAATCATTTGTACCCACATCATTACTAATGAATATTGTATATTTTAAATGGACAAGCTTCAAATTCATGCCCACTAAGGATATTCAAGCGGTCCTAAAAAATAATCTGTGCTTTTATATGCATATTTCTTTATCGGAATGCTTTTATATTTTTAAAAATAATTTTTTTTGGAGTTAAGAACTATTCTTTTTTTTTTACAAAACGAGTTATTTACACTAATTTATGTGTATAGTTGCAGATTTCCTAAGTTTGTTTTGTTATATATATATATTTTTTGCTTCCAATTACTTTTACCATATACATAGTCAACTAATTCTGATTCTAAATTTATTACCCACTATAATAATATTTTCAATTTATTACAATTAAACACATAGTAATTGTGTCTTCTACTAATTTATTCGATTATTTAAACACTATTGTATTTAATAATTTTCAAGAATTAAAAGTAAATAATTTATATAAAAATATTGAACATCAAAACTTGAATACAATATTGGTGGAAATAATAAATCATGTCGCTAATCACAAGTTATAAAAAAATTATATGGTGGCTTCCTATTTTTACTGAGCCATATCTTGGATGTAGTGCATAATATTAAAATTTTAAATTAATTTATATAATAATTAAATTACTCTTTATTTTATTTAGAAAAATTAATTGTTAATATTTTTGCATAATATTATATAAAATTCATATATATTTAATTATATTATATTATATATTCTTCAAATTATACTCATTTATATAGATAATAATGATTTAGCACGGATTATTACCTAATTAGTTTTATTCAAACTCGTTTCCTTTAGACTTTGGTAATTGTTTCAACAAACGCTAAATTCACTCGAAATTATTGAATATGGAAGTCTTTGTTCAAATTGACACATCATCATCAGTTTCATTCTTTCAAAAACGTGAATGAACATCGCTACCAAACCCCAATTATAAAATCCTTCATATTCTCAACGGACAGCAGTTAGAGTCCAACACCTTCAACTTCTGATTAATGATAAACCTGTTTTAAAACACCTTCAATGCCCCCAGAAATCAAAAAGTCAGAGAAATTGTAAACAAAAAGCATAAATAGTACGAGTTCACCCTGTAACCTACTCTTTCTCATATGAAAAAAAACCATTCAACGCACACACACCCAATCAAATCCATCTCGCTATCAGAAGACCCCCAGTACAACAAACTGATGTCGTCGTACAACAGAGCAACATGCGATATAGAAATATAGCCAGGTACTGATTTTATATGCATTTCATTGATATTTTATATGATTTCTGATGTAAGCGGTCTCTGACTTGACATGTATATTCAATCGGTCATAAGTCACTCGGATTCAGAAAGAAGCTAGGAGATGATTCAAGGTTCGCATTTATCTAATTTTATGGTCTCATAGGCTCATAAATCTAAGAGTACACATACGTTAATCTAATTCTTTTTCAATTTCTAATTCAATAAATTGTTATTTTTACAACGTTAGCATCCTCCTGTACTCTATAATATGTATCTAATCGGAATTTAATGAACAACGTGTCCAAAGAGACTCCATAGCTCCATCGCCATACACACAAAAACTAAAAGTAGCAGACTAACCGCACTCTACTTTGCACTAGGTGATGACCTGCGTATACATCAGGTTTATATTTTTTTTTTATAAATTTACATATTAATTATTTATCTTGAATTTATATTATTCTTGAATACATTAAGCTCTAGACTCTACTTTTCATCTTGGTTAGTAAATTCATAATAAGAAAATTAATTGATGTGCATTCCAAGAAAAAGTTATAATTCCAGTAATATACATTCACAACTTCTATTAGAGTTGTAAACAAAATTTATTATATACTAGGTATTTACCCGTAGAATATTTTTCTAAATTTTGTATATATTTTTAATATAATAAAATTATTTTTATAATATAAATGAGTATAATATTTATTTTTTTATTAACTTAAGTTATATATTTATATGTTTTAAATATGGATAAATATTACATATTTTTATTTATTTTTATTTTACAAAATTATATTTGCTATGAAATTTAGTTAGCTAACTAATTATAAATGTATATATAGGAATAAAATATATAAGAATAAAGTAATATATTTTTAGTACCTTCATACTAATGGTAAATGTAATCTATTTTCTCCAATAAATTATCATATTATCCTCCTTTGTAATGATATAAAGCAAAATGCCATTTAAAAGAAAGATTTATTAATTAATATGATTATATTGAATTATATAATTTATTTATTTATCAAATATTTTATTATAAATATATGTTTCTAAAACTACCAAACTATAATCAATAATATTCATATCAAAACTATTGCTATTGCTTTAGAACTAAATAAAAATTTATATTTGAAATTTTAAAATATCATTTTAGTTAAAGTTAAATAATTAAATTTTGGTAACTGTAAACACACTTTAACTTGGAAATTTAGCACATAAAATTTTCATCTTCTAACAAAAATCGAGAAATCCCATTTCCCATCAAAACAAAAAAACTTCATTTTCCCATTAAATTGAGAAATCGGCTATTCTCGCGAAAACCAAAAAATTCATTTTCTCGTCAAATCTAAAACCTAAAATTTCATTTTCCCGCGAGAACCTGTGTTTTCCACCAAAGCCGAGAAATTAAGTTTTTCACAAAAACCAAAAAATTTCATATTCCTGCAAAAACAAAAAAAAATTGTATTTTCCCGCCAAAATTGAAAATTTTATTTTTCCTACGAAAACTGAGAAATCATCTATTCCTGCCAAAACAAAAAAAAATTATTTTCTCGTCAAGCCTAGAATCACGTTTTTCTACAAAAAAAAATAAACTATAATTTTCCACGAAAACAAAAAATTGCATTATCTCCGGTGAAATTTTGTTTTCCTGCGAAAACTAAGAAATTTTTATGTTTTTATCAGTTCAAATTTTTGCTGATGGGTGAGCTTCTTATAAAATAAGACTTTTTGTGTTATTGTCATGGAAGCATAGTTGATGCTGAGCCTACACTTTTTCAATTATATATGCATATGTCAAACAAACAGATAGCTATAAAAAACTTTATTATTTATTATTTGGGTTTGGATTTGGCAAAAAAATAAATGATAATTTTTTTATTTGCTGTTATTAATTATTTGGGCTTGGGTTTGGTAAAAAATAAAACAAAAATTAAAAGAAAAAATATATGGGGTTTTAATGGGTTTAAGTTTAAAAATTAAAATAAGTAGATGAGATGTATTAATAAAATGTTGGTGATTATTTTTGCTGAGGTGTGTTCATAAAGCTTAAAAAAACTAAGATGTTAAGCTATGGAGAAACTTTAGTGTTATTGTTGTATTGATTAGGTGAGTAGCTGTGGATATATCTATTTTGTATTTTTTTATAATGAGTTAATTTAATTTTATTTGAATTTATGTCATACCTGATAGTGAATCAAAATCAATTACAATTTCAAGAATAACAAAATCACAAAACTCTCTTAGAGAGTTAATTAAATTGAAAACGTTGACCCTCAGAATAACAAAGTCTGCTTTTTGCTTTGTTTTTTTCAATTTTTTAAAACATATGAGCAACACAATAATCAACAGTAAACAAATAAAAGAGCTTATGAGGTGTGACACTACTGATAATCCAATGTGAAAGAACAGTTGAAAAGCTTTATGATTATATATACCAAGGGTGAAATGTTTTAAGCTTACATTATATGTTTACATCTTTTTAAAGGAGTGAAAACGTTTCTAAATCATTTTAGAGTGTACCAATGCTCTATTTGTATATAAAAAACCTGTTTTGCTTGGGGTCCATTTCAGTAATGAATACACTTTGCCAAAATGGAAACATCAAACTTTCGCAATAGAAGATGACCATAATGAATAATCGATGATGAAAGTTTCCTTGCTAGGGATTTCACCATCAGCTTCATCCCAATCACTCTCATCATCCTCTGGATCATCTTTCTCATCCTCGTGTCATCATCACCATCTTCATCGTTCTCCTATTCAGATCATTGTATGACAGGTTTTTGGAAGGCTGCAAGAAACAATAAGTGAATGAAGTGAACACAGCAAAACATGCTTGCTTTGGGAAGTAAAGAGATCTTAAAAGTGTATTAGACTGGAAGCCACCACTTACAAGTTCGTTCTGCATTTTCTCTAATGTTTTTTCCAGTTCAGAGATATGATGGCTAGGTGCCTGCAATAATCGGCAAAGAGAAGTTTCCGTAAGCAAGCTGCCACCAAGTTGTGAATACATAATGCAATTTGTGTGGAGAAGTTTCAAGAATTTCGAACCTCATGGTGTTGCATGGCAATGGAACACTTCAATGCTTTGCTTTTGTGAGAAGATTTCTTGGTCTCAAGCTAAATGATCTCTGGTAATTCTTTGCACGGTAGTAAATAATGGCAAATTCTTAAGAGAACTTTTCTATTGCCACAGGAACCCCACTGCTCTGGTATTCTAGTAACCCAGCTGTCTCCTCGAGAACCGCAAGACTCTTCTATTTTGATATAAGCTTCGCCAATTCTCTGTGTTTCCAATGCAAATGCATATTCTCGATGACTCCATCGAAAACACCATGGATATCTGGTAGTCATATCCACGTAAAGAAACTGTTAATTCATATAAAATGAGACATTTGTTTCATTCTTAATATAGTACGACTCACCTAAAGGTAAGTACAACTTTATTTTAAATCCCACTTTCCAGAACATAATCACCACATTGTTCTGTTTCTCTGTTATTCTCTGCAACAACAAAAAAGGATCAAATCACAGCCTCTGTCAAGTCGAACCAGGTTATTCCATTGTAACAACCCTAATCAACAGTCAGATCCGTCCCGCAAGTCTAAACTCGGGATTAAAGTAAAAACGCATTTGATCTATTTTAGTAACTTACGTAGTAAGGGATGTATGTCTGTCTTCCATTGACAAGACCACTGGTGTAGCCAGTGTAACCAGCCATTGCGCCATGAACCACACTCTGAGCAAGAAGTGTACAGTAGACATTGTCTGATGCATTGCTTAGAACAGCCCAGATCATGTATGTTGGATCTAAAAAGCGAGAAACGAGAAAAGAGACAGTAAATCCAAATATCTGAAATTAAAAACGAGGGAGTAAAAGGGTTATCATTTTGTTACCAATGTATTTGAGATTCATCACCATCTGAATCTTCTTAAAAGGATCCTATCACCAGACCGAAAAACGTTAAAAACACTGATGAGTTTTCTGTAATGGCATAAGAGAAAGTTCGTGTCTTGTTTTATATACCTTGATGCTTTGTGATAGCCAGAAGCCGACATCTTTAAGAACTTGATTACCAGACGCGTCCTTGAGAGTATTAGATTCCATGCTTTTGGACATCAAATCTTGTCTTGCTCCTTCAGCAAGAACAATCACCATGTGACCATGTTCCTTTCTCTATGAACTCCAAGAGTCCACCTTCTCCTTTGAGGTTAAATGGTGACTCGGGAATCAAGCAGCAAACAACATCTCTACTTGCTCATTGCGATGAATCCTGTAGGAAATCAGGACATAACCTTTTATGAATAACAGGTTTTTAAGTGTAATGTTTAAAGGCAAAACACACAGGAAGAGAAAAAGAGAAAAGCTTAACACTGTAACGACCCATAAGCTTAACAAAATCGATACCATTCTCATTACTCTCTGATTCAGCATTAGCTGCGTTGATTGCTCGTTGAGCTTCCTCCACAGCAGTGTCAAGCCCAAAAGATTTGTCTATAACCGGTATATCGTTATCAATCATTTTTGGAATTTTTTTTCACGGTATATTACAATGTAATACTTGTTTCTGAGCACCAAAACACCCCCATTTCCACGGTATATTACAATGTAATACTTGTTTTTGGAATTTTTTTTGTTAAATTTGTTTTTTGTTAAATTTGTTTTTTATATCAATTTTCATTTTATACTATATTTGTCAACAAATGCAAAAAAAAATAAATTTAGAGCATTTCCAATGCAAAATTTCATATTTGAAGTTTATAGTGTTTCTTCTCTTATGCAAAAATTTCAAAAGCAATTTCATATTTTTTGTATTTTATATTATACTCCTAAATATTGATTATATTTAATTAAAAGCATATAACTTTTATAAATAACTATAAAACATATTCAAAATGATTACGTTTGATATTAATTAATAAAAAATTGTATTACAATTTATGGGATTACTGCAAAAAAATCTTCAAACTAAATTATTTTTGTAAGATTAACCCTCACCTCAAAAAAATGCAAGTCAATAAATTCATCTTAAAAGTCACCCGCTATATAACCCTCCCGTCATCTGAACGTTATATCGATAAGTAATTCAAAACTCAGCGTTTTGAATCTGTAAACTACATGCTATTTTATAAATTTTACTAAATTTTTACCAAACTATAACAAAACAAAATAAAAATAAAAAGTAAGAAAATGAAAAATAAATAAAGCTTTTGGTGAACTCTTCTTTCCATCTTCATCTTCTCATTTTTTTTGTTTGCCTAATTGAACTCTCCAATCTAACAAGAATTATCAAGGTCACTATTTCATTTCAAATCCAATCCCTACAATGACTATTATTGATAATTCTTTGCTATTCATTTAATATCTGAAAAAGTTTGGATTAAAGGTATAGATCTGGATTTCAAAGTATAGATCTAGGTTTGAAGGTATAGATATAGATTTGAAGATTTGGATCGATGTCTTTAGGCAAAGAAGAAAACTCAGACAAAAGCAGCGTCGATTCAAACATGGGACACACAAAAATAAAAGTTCAAAATCAAATTAAGGGTCTGACTGGTATGTCAGATGAATAACAGAATAGCGGAATAACTGAAAAATTACTAGCGGAATGAACTGAACTGAATAATATTTTAGCTGAATAATTGTGAAACGATGAAAAGCTACTTTTAGTAGATTAATCACGTTTTGTTTTTTTTAGTTATATTTTTAACACGCTAGCGGAATCACGTTTCAAAAACATAAAAAAACGTGAAAACGTGATGAATAACATGAATGGTAAAAAATAACAGAATCAAGTTTCCAAAACGTGAAAACGTGAAAAAGCTGCATACCATTCAAACTCTTAGTCTTTCAGCTTAAGAATTTGATCTTTCTTATGGAGTTTGGACTGAGATGTTCTTCAAAATCCAAAAAAAGAATTATGTAAAGTATCGAAGAAGAAGGAGAGTGGAGCAAGGAGAGAGAACGAGAAGATTCTATTTTTCTTAATCGATTCTCAAACTTCTTCCTGTTTTTGGCTTAAAAAACAACAGCAAATAACCAAACTTCATGCTGTTTTACTATAATAAAACACAGCGTTTTAATTTCTGTGAATTTTCCTAACAGACGTTAGACTAAGCCACGTCATCGATATAAGGAAGGGTTAGCGGGTGACTTTTGAGGTGAATGAATTGACTTGTATTTTTTTGAGGTGAGAATTAATCTTGCAAAAATAATTTAGTTTAAGGATTTTTTTGCAGTAATTCCTATAAAATTACATATAAATGATAATAAAACACCCACACGAACTAAATAAAAATTACAAATAAAATACCAAATCACTCAATAAAACTATTTCCATAAGTTGACAACAAAAAAAAAACTATTTCCATAATGTTCCCTTGAAGGTTTAGGATCAGATTTACCTAAGTTTTAGTAGTATTGTAATTTTTTAATTTTTATAGTATATTATGTTTATGTAAATTTTTTGTATTAAATTTGCTTTATGCAATACTGTTATTTATAAAATTTGTTCATAAGATTATGTAATATTTTTGTTATATTTCACATATGTGTATCTAATTTTATATGTAAAAATTAATTTTTTATAATTATATGTAAAATATTAATAAAATATAAAATTATAAAATTAAATGTGAGTAATTTGAAAGTTAAAAGACTGAAAAAAAAGGTGAAACTTCAAATTTTTGAAATATGTTGATAATATAGCAAGAACCATCTTTTTCACTATCATATTTTGTCGATAACACCAGACTGAATTTGGGAATTCAATCGACCATAATTTTTTTTTTTTTTTTTCTGATTCTCACTTGCTATGAGATTTTTATCATTCGTTCTTTTTCCGAGTTGGATAAATAAATACACACAGCCCTGCAACAATAATAAAACTTATCTAGAATGTTGATTATTTTATAAGTCCAAATGACTTTGATCCCATGTTTACGACCCAATATGGTGGTTACAACAAATTTGCTTCATTATCATCAAAATATAACGACTACAAACCAAGATCAAATGGGATGCCGGTTAAATTAAGCCATGTGTTACCATGAATAAATGGACCGACTGTAAATTGAATTGCCTCCATTGCGGATTTCATGCGTGTATAACCAGGCCATTGCACCCGGTTTGTCATGTTCGAACCGGGTCCTTCATTCATGTATTCTCCATAATATAAAGTTTCAGCATAATCTTTGTCCCACTCCAACCATCCCGCAGGATCAATCAGATCGTCAATAAACGATTTCATGATGATGGTCCTAGAAAATCGTCTCCATGGTCGACCCAAATACGCCTTGAAGTTTGCTTTTACAGGGATCAAATCAGTCGCAGCCAAGATTCTACAATGAATTATAGATATACCTGTTGCTTCATTCGAGAAATTCCGGCCCTGAGCGGTGAATGTGATTTTCTGTTGAGGGTTTGGTCTACGCGCATAGAGACTACAGTTCTGAAACACAACAGCCGCGTTACCGAATATGAAATCGACCGTACCAAATATATCGCATTCTCTATAGAATTGTCTGGCTGAATGGGCATAGAGAGTGTCTTGGTAACCTTCGAATGCGCATCGATAAAAAGCAGAGTGATTGGAACCGCTTCGAAATGCCACGGCCTGGTATTTGCTCGGTCCGGCAAAATTCACGAATGATATGTCCTTAGCTATGAAGCCTTCACCTTTCACGCCTGCATAAAACAATCATCTGATAGTCAATACTCCTTAATTTCAACAATGATACAAGAAACTAATAAAGTACTAAAAGGATTGAAAAAAAAATAATAGTATAGCAACGTTATGAACTCTTTTTGTGGCCATGTGTTTTTGAGGCTGTAATTTCGTACAAAAAATAGTTAAACTCGAATTTATTTTGGCTCAAGATATAACTTGGTCTCAACCCAAAAGAATGTGGCCATTAAATTTGTACTCGTTACTCGTCACTGTTTTTTTTTTTGAAAAGGGTAACTGACTTACTGTTTTATTTGTTAAAAAGAATATTGAAAAAAAATCTTTAGACTTAAATGGTATGTAGTTGATTTACATTTTTACGATTTAAAAATATATAACTATTAAATATATATCATTCATAATATAGTGAAAATATGATTTTGTCAAATACATATTATTAACAATATTATGCATGATATGATAAAAATTAACAAGTTATTTTTAAATTTATCTTGTGTGTTTTATAATTATAACTAGTATAGTCAAAAAGCTATTCATTGAATAAATAGTATTTTTTGGTATTTTAAATTTATTCAATTTTTCAGTTTTTCATCATATTAATTTTGTTATTTAATTTAATTTTTAGTTTTTTATACTATTAATTTTACTAGTTTATAATTCAGTTATTCTCCTATCCTGATTATATTCCGCGTCGAGGATTTGTGCTTGTGGGCTAGGGTTGACATACCAATACCATGTAACGTGTTTGAACTCTTTTTATTGTTGTGGCCGTATGAAGAGATGAATGCTTGTCAAGTTGTGATTTCGTAAAAACATTTAGACAAATTGGAATTTATTATTTGGTCTCACCCCGTAAGAATGTGCCCATTATTTTTATACTCTTTACTCGTTACTTTTTTTTGAAAAGGTTAACTTTTTTATTTGTTATCATGCTTTTTTTTTTTGTCTCTTTCACAACCTGATTAAGATTAGCTATAGCAAAATCATGTTCGGCATTTAGTAAAGAAAAAACCTCAACCAAACATAAATAGAAAAAAATCCGTTAACTATAGATTTAATATAAAAATTCTTTAATTATAAGCTCGCTAATAAAAACCTCTTCTATTTATAATATTGCTAAATTCTTAACGGTCAATGTTAAATCAAAACTATATATTTTGAGTTGTGAAAAACTAACATATATTTTGCAAAATTTCAAATAATTCTAATGAAAAAATCTTTTAAGTAAAAATAAATAGATAATAAACCCTATAACTATAAATTAATGTGAACCTCCCACCTTTTCTGTTTATAATAACGTTAAAATTTATCTCAACATTATAACAAAACGTTTTGGATTAAAAAAATTGACGTAAATAATTTTGATGTGACAATAAGATACTTTGTGTAGAAAATTGATTGAAGAAGACATATATGTCAAATTGCTCATACAATTTAATTTATCTGGAGTTTTAAAAAATTATAATAATTTATCAAGTTGTACAAAAAAATTGACATTTGTTCTATGTTATTTTTACAATCCAAATCATACATATTTGATTTAATATTGTAGATATAATAGATCTTTTCATTAATTTGATAGTTGAGAAGTTTATTTTTTATCCATATTTATTTCAGGAGTTTTTTTATTAAAATTATTTGAGATTTTTCAAAACAAATATCAATTTTTACAACCTAAAATGTATAGTTTTGATTTTAATATTGACTGTTAAAATTTTAATAGTATTATAGACAGAGGTTTTTTTTAATATTGATGGAGTAGTTTTTTCATTAACAAATTTAAAGTTGAGAGAATTTTACATTATATCTATAGTTGAAGAGTTTTTTTATTCAACTTTAATTGAGAATTTTTTATATTAAAAACTCAATAATGTTTAACATTATAAAGCCAAGGGTTTAGAAAGTAATTTAATAAAAAAACTAACCTACGGTAGCAGACTGAAATGTTGACCATCCATCAGCGCGGCTACGGTTTGCTTTTATGATTGTTTTTCCGATGCCGTCTCCGACCAACATTATCATTGTCTTCTTCTTCGGTATTTCGACGTTTTCAAAATATACCCCACCTTTTATATAAATCATAAACCTATACCAAATTTTTGAAAATTAAACATTAGACCGATTGCTTGAGAAGAAAAAAAAAACACATGACAGAGTAAATATGTATATAAAAAAAAACTTTTCAAGATTAACCGTTGATGCAATGATGCTTTACTACGTTGAGTTAAGATTTATGTACCTTGTTTCGCTCGAGTTAGGAGCGGCCGAGACTGCAGCACTGATGGTTGTGAAGTCTTGGGTACCATCTTGAGCCACCGTGAGATTAAACTTGGTCTCTCCCGGCGAAGCTTGAAGGAGTCTCTTGTCATTCTCTGAGATCCAACTCGGAAACTCAACGTCAACCTCAGATGGTTCTAGGGAATGGTTATTCCCCGGAATATTCTGAAGCATACCCAGAGAGTTACTGAGGTTGTTAGAGATGTTTAAGATGCTCTCTTTCAAGTTCTCAGCCAATCTGTATGACCTATCATTACTATGACCGTAGTCATCTCTTGTGAAACCATCGAGACACGTGTCTTGGTTCGTCATGGCGTCGCTGAGCAACATATTGACGTCGTCTGACCCAATAGTGGAAGATCGGAGCTTGGAGACTGCGGTTTTGAGATCGGAGATGGTGTCATCGAGTAGACCGAGACAGTCTTCGAACGCGCAGCGATCACGGTGAGATAGGTTTGGACCGAGACGGTTTTGGAGGTCGAAGAAGTTGGAGGAAGAGAGATTGACCTTTAAGATGGTTTGATCTAAAGTAGCGATGACAAGCTCAGTGATTTTACTGCTTTCGGTTGAATGCGGCATTTTTTGGACGGTGGATTGTGAATCAGATGAAACAACGGTAGATAAGAAAATTAGGTGTAATGTCAATCGTAGTGAGTTGAGAGTTATGAGTTTTGACGTTTTTCTATTTAGATTCTTCATCTTTTTTCTTGAAGGTTAAGAAAAAAAAATTAAAGACAAGCTGCCATGTGAAAACGTGAAAGGTTTGGTTTTATTATATAGTGAAGATTACATAAAATGGAAAGATATCTCATATATATTAATTGAGAAGTATTTTTAAAGATTAATCTTATTTATATAAATAATTACAGTTGTGCTATTTTATTGATGTGTCACTACTATAGAACTTCTCATAATATTTTATAAAAAAAATATTAGTTACTAGAATAATTACATCATATGTCATTATTACATTTTTATGTTAGACTAACATTCAATATAAATTCATGTTATTCAAATAGTTACTTTTAAATACTAATTTTTATGTTAAACTAACCTTTAATATAAATACATGTTATTTGAATATTAACCTTTCTATGTAAACATATGATTTACAATATTATTTTCAAAATATTTAGTTAATTATCCAAACTGTAATATGCAATATTTGATCAATTCGTTTTTAATCTTTATATGTAAATATATGATACAATTTATAATTTTAAGAATCCAAGTATATATTATTCCCAAAAATAAAGTTTACAACACATCAACTAAATAAATAAAGATTATAGAAGGAAATTAAACTTAATTTGTTATAGAATTTTCAATTCAAACATATGATATACAATATAACATGTAAATATTTTATTAAATATCCAAACTGTAATATGCAACATTTTATGAATCATACATTAATTTTTATATGCAAATGAGGAATTAGCTACTAATAAATAAAAATGGAAGTAATTTAATTACCAATAAATTTAGATCTAATTAATATTACTGATGACTAATCAATCAATTAAAAGAATTTCATTAATTTAGATCTTTTCTAAAATTTAGTATTCAGTAAATAGTATTTATATTTGAAGTATTAAAATTGTGAGCTAATTAAGAATTAGATAATAAATTAATTAAGATTTGTTTTAGATCTATTAAATATTATTGATTACCAATTAATCAATTAAAGTAATTTCATTAGTTTAGATCTATTACAAAACCTTTTTTTATGGTCGCTTTCAGGAGACAATTGTCTCCCTAAATTTATTTAACTCAGATAAAGAAGCTCCAAACGTACAGATCCAGTCTGTATAAATCCATGAGTGTCATCCGACATAATCGATCTAACTTAATCAGGGACCGAAGCAAAGAAACGAAAACCAAAAGATAATGAAAAAGCATGGTTTGCTATTCTAAAACTTAGTATGCAATGATTAGTATTTTATATTTAAGGTATTAAAATTTTGAGTTAACTAAGAATTAGATAATAATTTAATCAAAATATATCTATTAAATTTGATATATGAAACTATACAAGTAATTTAATGGTAATTTTTCTAGATCTAATAAATACTAGGTGATGGGCTATAAAATATTTTAAATGTTCAATATATGATTAATATTATATATTAATTTGTAACTAATTACATATGATAACTTATGTTTTAAGTAATAATATTATATGAACACTTAATAATAAAAACAACTATAGATTAAATGAAAAGTGATATAGATTTTAATACAAAGTGTAAATATGATAACTAAATAAATGGAAAAACATTAAGATATATAAAAAGTAGAGTTAAAATATATCAAAATTATAAAAACTAACCAAGATTTTAAAACATTTTTTTATAGATGACATTCATAGTTTTCTTTTGCACCTTTCTTTCTTGGTTTGTTATAAAAAAAACTAAGTCCAGATCTAAACTTAACTCTAAATAGTGCAATATATAGCTGTCCACGAGAGAAAACTGGTCTAAGTAAAAACAAACTAACATTCTTAAGTGATTGTCCTTAGCTTTTGTTGATAGTCATTGTGAAAGCTAAAGCCAAATGAAATTGTGTATGACGCATTCTGAAAGAAAACCTTTTGTTTGGTGGTGTCACATACATCCTATAGATTATAACTATTTGACCAATGGATTTCTCATTTCCCATTATAATTCTACTTTCAACCACATATCAAGCTATTTAAGTAATAATAAATCTAGTTCCATTACATATTCCACTCTTAGGATTAATGTTACAAAGACACATGACTGGAACATCAACTTTTAATTTCAAGCAATGCTTTGGTAATCCATAAACTTTGATGCTTTTCAAAAATTCAGTTGGGTAGTTCACAATATTCAATATGTATTTATCTGAAGGAATAGTGCAGTCACAGCTAACCTATGCTTTCTCTTCACCTGAGATATTTATATAATAAAAATATAGATATATGCGGGTATAATTGTTTTGATAGCTAGCTGTAATATTTAAGTGTTAATTAGTTTTTCATTCATTTTGCAAACATTATGTTTGTATAGAAATACAATTTTAGTATTTAACAACAATCAAACAATCTTTTCATATCGTTTTGTGCTTTTTAAAACTTATTTATTTAAAACTTTTTATTTTTCTAATATTTATAGTGACATATAATTGTAAATGTAAAGTTAAACTATATAATATTTTAATTCTTAGAATATTATTTTTTGAATATTATCTATACTATTTTTTGCTAATACATATATATTCTAATTATATATTTCTTTCTTGATCTATTACAAATTAAACAGAAATAGGTTTTATCACCTTTACTAATCTTAAGAGCGGCTAGATAGTTGGTCCGCACATATAGATTTGAAAAAACAATAATAATAAAAATAAAAATTGAATTGTAAGAAGTTAACAAAATGCATGAACGACAAGTTTACATGCGACTCTAGCTTTTATGCAATTAATATTCATATTTGCATGCATATTTCTGGAAAAGTCGAAATGTGGGTTTTATGTGCTAAAAGAAAATAACAAAATGTTTTGTAATATATATATTTATAATGTATGTTTGAATTTTAAAAAGAAATAAATATGTATATTAGTGCATGCATATACAGATTAGAAATAAAATACAAATATTTATGTTTTATTAGTTTCTCTGATATTTTCCATACATGTTATGTTTTTACATGGTGCAACTTTTGGCGTTCTACAAAAATCACATAAACTATTTTTATTGTATTGTACTTAATGATGATTTCTTTTTTTTAGCGATTTTGATGCATTTTCAAATTATTATATTAAATATTAACAAAAATTACAAAAAAAATATAATATTTTACTTTACACCATGAAAATACATATAGTACATTGGATAATCTAATATTAATTTTTATATTTTAATAAAACAAAATTGTTATAAAATTTGTGAAATCATATTTTATATAACATTTTGGCACCTCTACGCTCATCTCTTTGTTCATTATTGAGGAATTAGATTGATGAAAAAAATAAATTTCATATGGTTAGCCTGTAAGCATGTGTTTGATATAAACTTTAACCTGTACATGAGTTCATAATCAAAATTGCTTCATATATTTTTTAAATAACTCTTTAAAACAAAGCACAAGAGTTTTATGGAAAACAAAAACTGTAGAGAAATATTTTTATTTTTACTTTTACTTTGTAATCACATTTTATGCAATATATTATGAATATATATTAAAATTTTGAAAACATAATATCATTGTCTGATAATTTTAGTGTTATGATAAAATCTCTATAAATTTATAGATGATAAATTAATAAAAATTTTCAGTCCCAAATTGGATCACTGTAAAAATTAGCAAATTTCAATAATATTTTATTTTTTTAGAATTTTTATTTTAAAATATGGCCATAATAATTATATCGATTAGTAATTATACATTTAAATATATATATAAATAATACAATATTGAAAATATTTTTAAATAGTTATTTCAATTTTATAAAATTTGTTTAACTTAACTTCCAAATTTATTGTTATGATATTTTTTGAATTAATTTTACATTTATGAAAATATTAATTTTTATCTTTTGATGAATATTAAAAATTCGAAGCAAAAATATCTCTACAAATTAATAAAATATTATTTGGTTATTAATTTATCGATTAGTTCATACTCTATAAATTAATAAAAATTAGAAATCTCAACATTATTAATTTATAGAAGTTTTACTATATAATCTAGTTTATGTTATAATTTTATATAATTTATTTAATTATAGTTCACCCAATCAAAACAATTCATTTATTTTAGAAAATTTGCCATATCACCATTAATTTACACTAACTTTTGCTAAGATGATGACACATCAGATTTTTTCGCTAAACATGCTTCTCAAATAACAGTTAGGATTATTGATTACTAATTAATTAATTAAAATAATTTCATTCTAAAATTTAGTGTGCAATAAATAATATTTTTGTTAGCATTTGTTTTACCACGACCAAGGATAACATGATATATGGCCACCAAATCATTTTAAACACTGACACGGCATGCTAGCTCGGTCAACAACTTTCTAGCACACTATTTTGGGTAGTTCGCAAGCTTTCCGAATAATGCATGTGCCACCGATCCACCTGCTCTTCTGGTGCGCCGAACGGATGGGACATGATGGAAAGGACTCATATAAAAGGAGGCTAAGAAGAAGAGGGGGGGGGGGGGGGGGGAGCCAAAGAGAGAGAGAGAAAGAAAATAAAAACCTGATCAAAACAAGAGAGGTAGAGATCAAAGAAGAAACCTCCTTAGAGTTCGATGTAAGGAGGAAGAGTCAGACCACCATCTGCGCAGTCTTAAAGGAACGCCCCCGCTCCTCCAAAACGACACTAAGCATGATAAGCCTCCCTTTGACCCGGACCTACGCCATTATAGTCACTACACCTTATTTCCCACGTAGAACCCCTTGAAACACATATAAACAGAAAGATGCCCCGATCTCCGCACGAGGCATCTAACATTAATCCGTAGAATCACCCCCTTGAGTATTTGTTCCCTGCAAGACGTTTATTGACTTGAGCGTCAGAGAACTTTCAGGAGGAAAACTTTCATTCGGTGCTCCTGAATATCAGACTGACTTTGTGTGTAGTGTTCGCAGGGCTCAACCAGGCTCCAATTCGCACTCGCAGGACCCAAATGGGCTTCTGTCCAAGAACGGCTCGTCACTTTTCTATTTAGAGGACAAAACTTGGAGGCACGGCTCCACACCCCAAAATAATGACATACTCCCACGTGGTATTCTGTAAAATGCTCCCGGACAATTTTATAATTAAAATAATAAAATTATCAGCTATTTATAAATTTTTTAATAATTTTATTCAAAACGCATATATTGCATTAGATATATGGTAATTTAATTTATGACACAATTACTAACTTAATTTAGTTCTAAGTAATATTATTGATAATTAAATTTCTATTTTCGAGTATAAAATATAGTAACACTCTTTCCTAATAAGTCATAAATGTTTGAAATTTATGTAGTATAACTAAACAATATATCGGATGGAAAATTTATAACATCTATCTCTACTCTAAACCATATATATATGTACTCTCGCATAGTTTTATGGCAAAGAAGGAATGGGTTTAATGGGCTAACTTATTAAATGAGTCACGAAAGAAAAAGAGATGGTGGGCTTGAAGTGTTACAAATTTTATATTTTCTTTCACACCAATATTTTTGTAAAAACTAATTCAAATAAATTTTATATGTCAAATAATTTTTTTTTAGAAACACATCAAAACTTTATCCATGTTCGATGTATCTTAAAATTAATATTTCATTTTATTATGTACTTTTTGTGCAAAATGATTATATTAAGTTTAATTCATAATTATAAGGAGTGAACACTTGCAACAGAAATTACAAACAAAGCAGATAAAAAATAGATTATATAGCTTAAACTAAAAACAAAAACTGGAAGCTTCTTCAAAAGGGTTTATGTGATCGATCCAAGACCAATCTGAATTTCTTCCACTACAAGAAATTAGGTGTGTTACATCATTTATTTTATTTGTTAATATTATTTTTGATTGATATAAATTCAGTTGCATCATTTAATTAAATGACTCTGTAAATGGTGATGCTAATCACTTATATCAATATTATTAATGATGCTACTGTTTTCATCACTTATGTTAATTGATATTAATATATATCATTTGTAATAAGTGATATTATTATTTGACTCAATTAAAATAAATGATATAAATATTTACATTACTTAAAATAAATAATATTAATATTTACTATCAATTATAATAAATGATATTATATATTATATTCAAAAATATTAAAATCCATGTTGATTTAAAATTTTGTGTTAATTATTATGATAATAATAATTTAAGATAATTTTATATTTTATATTTATTATTCTAATAAATATATGTAAATACATATATATGATTTAACATTTAATAAAAGTTTTAGTATTTTCTTTTATATAGGAGAAAACTAGTACTCTTCAATCTTCATCATTCTTAGCAATGTATGACAAATAATTGTTTAGTTGAAATTTTATTTGCATCACTTTTATAACTGAAATAAATATTAGCATCATTTATTATTGATGCTAATGTCAATCGATCAAATGCTTCACTTATATAATTGATGTAAACTTATATATTTGTGTTAGTTTTTTAAAAAAGTGATATAAATTAATTATATCAGTTTTTTTATTGATGTTAATCAAGTTAGTATTAGTATCAACTGTTTTTAATTGATAGTATTCAAATTAAGATTAATATCAATTAAAAAACTAATGTAAAAATTTCATAGTGTCAATTTTTAATAAGTGAGTCTAAATAGAATCAGTTATTTTATTGACACTTTATAAATGATGTAATATACCTTTTTCTTGTAGTGTTCTGTCATCAAAGACAAGCGAAAAACAATAGGCACTCGCAATGCATTCAAAGCTGAGCGTTTGAGAAGATTCTCTATAGAGGAGAAGAGCAAATTCTAAGATACGTTGGTTAATTGGAAATACTCAAGAACTGCACCGTCAGAGGAAGATTGTTGCCATCATTGGCTACCTCTAACTCCCAGACATGGTAGAAAATGAACAGAGGAAGATTGTTGCCGTCGTCGGCTACCTCTAACTCCCGAACAGGAAAATGCAAGAGATAGATGGTCACGGGCCTCACAGCCCACCACAAATTCAGACCATATAAATTTTATTAGGCTAAGCTTATAGAAGAAACCCAAAACTTGATCCCACTGCTCAAGGCCCAACTGATCGCAGCCCAACGGGCCAATGCCCAATAAATTTCACAAACCTGGCTTGACCTTCTGATGCACTGCCGGAGAAGATCTGGCCGGTGGATCTGGGTGTAACACGCGCAGCGGATAGAAGCCATTAGGTGCGGGTGGCGGTGGAGGAGAGTGGTCGAGAGGGGAAGACCGCCTAAGCAGAGGCTTAAGCCGGCAAGCCTTGTTGGGGGAGGATAGTTTGGGTCATCGGCAAAACAGTTGACAGAGTAGTAACGGAGGAGATGGAGCGAGAAGATCTTGGGGAGGAGGAAAGTGGTCAACACCCAAAATAGAGGCTCCAGCGAAAGAGAAACCAAGTGCCACAGCGAGTGTGCCACCAACGGAAGATGAGAGGAGGCGGAGCTCAGACCATAAGAACGCTGCATACATTACGTTTTATTATGTATATTAATATTTTTGAAAATATTCGTAATGAAATCAAGTATGTTGCGTAAATTAATTTGTCGCTGAGTTAGATGTGTCTTGGTGGTCTAATGACATGAATGTTATAATTTATGTTTAAAAGTTACAGAGAATTGGACGAAAAATATGTGACTTCTAAGTTTTTCAAAACAAATAGTCTTTCTAATTTTTCTTTTATTATATAATACACATTATTTTTTACTAGGTAACTTTCCATAGATTCTAATTTATAAGAGTGTTCTAGAGTTCTAACTGATCTTCAAATTCCTTACATACAATCATTCATGCATATCGATATAATTACAAAACACCATCCATTTACATGTACCTACGTCATTACTAACGAATATTATATTTTATAAATGGACAAGCTTCCAATTAATGCTCATTAAGAATATATTCAAACGGTCCTAACTAAAGAGCAATATGTGATTTTATAATTTGATTAATTTTTTTTGGAGTTAAAAATTGTTCTTTTTTTTTACAAAACTAGTTATTTGTATTAATTTATGTGTATAGTTGTTGACTTCCTAAGTTTGTTTTGCTATATCTATATTTTTACTTCTAATTACTTTTATAGTATAAATAGTCAATTAATTCTGATTCTAAATTTATTACTCATTATTTATAATAATATTCTGAATTTATTATAATTAAATACATAATAATTGTGTCTTCTTTTAATTTATTCGGTTATTTAAATACTAAAGTATTTAATCATTTTCCAAGAATTTAAAGTAACTAATTTATATACAAATATTGAACATCAGAATTTGGATACAATATGAGTGGAAACAATGAATCATGTCATTGATCACGAGTTATAAAAAAAAATATGGTAACTTCTTATTTTTACTAAGCCATATCTTGGATGTGGTACATAATATCAAATTTTTAAATTAATGTATATAGTAATTAAATTACTCTTTGTTTCATTTTGAAAAAACCAATTGTCAATGTTTTTTGCATAATATTATATAAAATTCATATAAATTTAATTATATTATATTATATAATCTTAAAATTATACCCATTTATATAAATAATAATGATTTTATTCTGCACATGCGCATATTATTACCTAATTAGTTTTATGTAAACTCATTTCCTTTAGACTTTGGTAATTTTTTCAACAAAAAATTAATTCACTCAGAGTTATTGAGTATGGAAGTCTTTGTTCAAATTGAATAATTCATTTGAAAATGCTCAATCATTAAAACCACATTAAAATTTTACCAAACTACGTAAGATGCAAAGACCACAAATGTACCGATTGTATTTGTACATAACCATTAAATTTAGAGTTTTACCCTTACTAGAAATATGAAAATAAACACATTGGCTTAAAAAAGTGCAATTTTGAGAGGTCGCTGCTTTGAATAAAAAATGACAATTTTTTAACAATTTGTTCAACTCTCTTATTCAAATGTTTTACTTATCAATTTTTTTTTGCATATATATTATTTCAAAATTTAAAGAAAAGATTAGAGGTCAAGAGTAAATGGAATTCTTGTAGAGTTTAGCCAACTGTTACCTTCGATAAATGGACCAACGGTGAATTGTGTTGCTTCCACAGCGGTTTCAATACGCTTAAAACCAGGCCATTCCACCCGATTTGTCATGTTCGAACCGGGTCCTTCATTCATATACTCTCCATAATATAAAGTGTCAAGAGCAAAATTGCCTTTCCACTTCATCCATCCAGCAGGATCTACTAGATCGTCAATAAACGATTTTATGATAACAGTCCTAGAATATAACTGCCATGGACGACCTAGGTATGCTTTAAAGCTAGCTTTCACAGGACTCAAATCTTGCGCAGCCAAAATCCTGGAATGAATTATAGATATACCAGTAGGTAGACGTGAATCTTCTCGACCTTGAGCGGTGAATGTGATAGCTTGTTTAGGATTTGGTCTACGAGCATAGAGACTACAATTTTGGAATACGACGGATGCGTCACCAAATATGATATCGACCGTGCCATATATATCACATTCTCGATAGAACTGTTTGTGTGAGTGGGCGTAAATGGTGTCTTGGTAACTTTCGAAGCTGCATCGGTAGAAAGCAGAGAGGTCAGAGCTGCTTCGTAACGCCACAGCTTGGTGTTTGGTTGGCCCGGCGTCGTTCACGAATGATATGTCCTTAGCTATGAAGCCACTACCTCTCACGCCTGCATTAACAAAAACGTGTAACTAATGTTTCTTAATTAATGCTAGTAAGTTATAATTTATATAACAAATATTTTTTGAAAGAAACGAAAACTAACTAAATCACAATTATGCCTAAGAAAATTATTTCTATGATATTTTTATATTTATTATATGTGAATCAGAAAGTATACTAGTGATTGAAACTTTGTTTGTCAACGTATAAATCTGATTGGTTAAATGTAATATTAAAGTTGAGTTAAGTTGAGTTAGAGTGTTATAATTTGATGCAAGTTACAGTAAAATCCCCTATATATTAAAAGAGAAGCCTTTTTAAAGAATAACCTTAATTTTGTAAAATATTACAGTGGTGTCATTTTGTTGATGTGTCATCACCAGAATCATTTTCAGCAAAGTTATAAAAATAGACTTATGTTACTAGATTAATTACATGTTATGTCACTCACATAAATTTGGTTATACATTAGTTTATATCAATTATATTGATGATGATTCATCAAGATATTCTTTTTTCCATTTCTTACCAAAAATATATCATATTAATTATTTATTTAAATACTATATTTTATCTTTTATTTTTTTAGGAAAATAAATCATTACATCATTCATATAGTAATATACTAGGTAATAATCCGCACCATGTGCAGGGTGAAATAATAATTATTTATTTAATATAGTATAATTTTAAAATTATATAAACAATACAATTAATTTTATATGAGTTGTTTATAACATTATGCTGTAATATTGACAAAATATTTTTTTTGTTTATGTTATGAATTTTAGGATAATTTAATTCTAATGTAAATTAGTTTAAAAATTAAATATATATTCACAATCTGGATAGAAATAAAAAGTCCCTCTTTATATTTTCTATAACCTATGATTAATAACATGATCTTAAAATTAAAAAAAAAACAGAGGGAGTATATTTTGATTAAATTATTAAGTATCTAATAAAAAATTTTACTACTTCCTCTGTTTCATAATATTAAATTTTTTTAAAGGTTTTGTTTTGTTTTACAATATAGTTGTTTTTTATATTTTTTGCTACTTCCAATGAATACTATGTGACCGATTATATTTTTAATTTTTCATAATTAGTTGAATTATTTAATTTATATACTAAATGATTACTTTTTTAAAAGAAAAGTTACCTTTTAATCTTTGTGCTTTAATACAAAATAACTTATATTTTGAAATAGAGAGTATTAAAATTGTAAAAATAAAATTTGATTTTAAAATTTTATAATCGACTTTAATATTTCTAATATGAATGTAAATGCATATATAGATTAAACCGAAAAAATTATAATCATAAGAATATTAACTTTTAAGAAAAGAAGATTACTGTAAATTTTATTTTAAATACTAAATATACAAAAGGATTATATAAAAATAAATTATCTTTTTATTATTTTTAATAAATTATCTAAAATTGTATATAACTGAGTCAATGCTTATCCATTCTTAACTTTTTGATTTAATAAAAATATTTTTAATATCAAAAAGTTTAATAAAATTATTATATAATATCCTTACAAAAATATTTTAATTTTTTACCAAGTTATTTTGTTGTATAAATTAAAAATAATAATATCTATTAAATTAAGCTTCCTGTTTTTTTAACATTTATGTATATTTTTATATTGATTTATGAATCATCTATCTATACATCTTTATTTTCAATTTTAGTCTTTTAAAACATACTTTTATTTATTAATCATTTAAGTAATTTATATTTTTTTTATGAAATTCGAATTATAACACAGAAAATATATATATATATATATATATTTTTTACTATATGAATGATGTGATGATTTATTTTTCTATAAAAATAAGAGATAAAATATAGTATTTAAAAAAATAATTAATATGATATATTTTTTTTAAGAAATGGGAAAAAAAAATATCTTGATGAATCATTATCAATATAATTGATATAAACTAATTTATAACCAAATTAATGTGAGTGGTATAACATGTAATTAATCTAGTAACATAAGTCTATTTATATAACTTTGCTGAAAATAATTCTGGTGATGACACATCAGCAAAATGGCAACACTGTAATATTTTACAAAATTAAGGTTATTTTTTAAAAATGCTTCTCTTTTAATATATAGGGGATATATATATATTTTTTTCTGTGTTATAATTCGAATTTTATAAAAAAAAATATAAATTACTCAAATGATTAACAAATAAAAGGATGTTTTGAAAGACTAAAATTTAAAATAAGGATGTATAGATAGATGATTCATAAATCAATACAAAAATACATAAATGATAAAAAAAAAACAGGAAGCTTAATTTAATAGATATTATTATTATAATTATTTTTGGTTTCATATGGTTTTAAAACCATATAAATTAACCAAATAATATAAATATTTAAACTTTATAATAAGTACAAAATACTAATAAAAAGTTAAACTATAAAAAATAGTTGAATATGTTAATAGAATATAATATTATAAATATTTTATTTGATTAAAAAGTTAAATATCATAAATTTTTAGTTTATACGACAAAATAACTTGGTAAAAAATTAAAATATTTTTATAAGGATATTATATAATAATTTTACTAAACTTTTTTATATTAAAAATATTTTATTGAATCAAAAATTTAAGAATGTAGAAGTATTGACTCAGTTATATACAATTTTAGATAATTTATTAAAAATAAAAAATATAATCTATTTTTATATAATCCTTATGTATATTTAAAATAAATTTCACAGTATTTGTTTTCTTAAAAGTTAATATTCTTGATTATAGTTTTTGCGGATTAATCTAAATATGCATTCACATTCGTATAAGAAATATTAAAATAGATTATAAAATTTTATCATCAAATTTATTTTTAAAATTTTAATACTCTCTATTTCCAAATATAAGTTGTTTTGCATCAAAGCACAAAGATTAAAAAATAACTTTTCTTTTAAAAAAATAATCATTTAGTATATAAATTAATTATAATTCAACTAATTATGAAAAACTGAAAAATATAATCGGTCACATAGTATTCATAGGAAGTAGTAAAAAAAATAAAAACAATTATATTGTGAAACAAAACAAAACCTTAAAAAAACTAATATTATGAAACAAATTTTATTTTTACAATTTTAATACTCTCTATTTCAAAATATAAGTTGTTTTGCATCAAAGCACAAAGATTAAAAAGCAAATTTTCTTTAAAAATGTAATCATTTAGTATATAAATTAAATATAATTTAACTAATTATGAAAAACTAAAAAATATAATCGGTCACATAGTATTCATAGGAAGTAGTAAAAAAATGAAAACAACTATATTGTGAAACAAAACAAAACCTTAAAAACTAATATTATGAAACACAGAAAGTAGTAAATTTTTATTATCATAACGCATTAGATACTTAATAATTTAATCAAAATATACTCCTTTTATTTATTTATTTTGAATTTTAAGATCATGTTATTAAGGTTATAGAAAATATAAAGAGTAATTTCGTATTTCTATTCAGATTGCGCATATATATTTAATTTTTAAACTAATTTACATTAGAATTAAATTATCCTATATTTCATAAAATAAACAAAAAAAATATATTTTGTCAATATTGCAGCATAATGTTATAAACAACTCATATAAAATCAATTGTATTTTGCTATATGATTTTAAAATTATACTATATTAAATAAATAATTATTATTTCACCTTGCACAGGGTACGGATTATTACCTAGTTATATAGTAAAATAGTAGATTTATGTGGTAAGCTTGCTGTAGAAAATTGAGTTAATATTTTGTCAAAATAGATTACTGGTAAACAAATTTATGTATAGTAGCAGTATATATTATTTAAAACTAAATTAAATAAAAATATTAGTAGTTATAATATTTATTAGAAATTATAATAGTAAAATCAATTAAAATTGTGGAAAATATTCAGCATACAAATAATAATAATGATATTATTTAAAATATTTTCTCAACAAAACAAATCGTGGAACACTAGAATTATTTAAATGTTTTATTTAAAAAAAAAACATAGGCTAATGCAAAATAAATATGTAAGGAAAACTTACCAACGGTAGCAGAGTCAAATGCGGTCCATCCATCTACGGAGCTGCGGTTAGCTTTTATTACTGTCCGTCCGATTCCGTCACCAACAAAGATTATCATCGTCTTTTCCCTCGGTATTTCAATGTTTTCGACATATACCCCATATTTTATATAGATCACAAACCTATCATTAAAAAGAAGAATCTATATTACATTTATATGTTTTAAGCTTAAGGTAGATAAAGGTGTATATATAATACGTGTGTATGGTATATATACCCTATCCCTAAACATGTATGCTTGTTGACAACCAAAATAAAAACATGTACAGTACTCGTATCTCACACATAGTTCTTAAACATATAGGTTCCAATCATCATCATCACAAAATGCAAAAAGAAAAAAAACGTGAAAATTAATAACGTCAGTACTACTCTGCTTAAAACATGTGTCTAGCTATGATTTTATATAATTATTCTTCCAATTTTATGGAATTTGTGCTTAATATGTTTGTGTTGAAACTTGTGATATGTCATCAGCTATGAAGACAGCGTGGGATTTGTATTTAGTTGGCCTTTTTAATGCATGGTTATGTGTTGATCATAGTTTATTTTGGAGATATTTCCCACTGTCCACTAGGATCATTCTTGATTTTGTAGTGACATTTATGAGAATTTTGGTGCTAAGAAGTAAGAACGTTAGTTTTATGGAAACTATATATTGATGAGATATTTTGTGAAGTTTCGACACTTATTGCCATTGATTTCGTGTATAAATAATAGAAAAATATCTCGTTCTTCAAGTTTAAGAATTGTCGTTTGTTTATTTTTTCTGAAACAAGAAAAGTACCTTCAAAGAAAAAGTTTCATCGAAATCTTGGAAGTAAGTTGTAGCTAAGCACGGGAATGAATTTCGCAAAAAAACAAATATTCAAAATTTCAAAATCCAGAACAAGGACTAAAGGAGAATTTCTAGTCTATCAATATCTTATCAACTTGGCAGTATTCTTGAAATTATTTTTAGGACTTTATGTGCTGAAATTTACATATATAATTATAAAATACTGATTTCGCAGAGCTAGTAATTATGTTAATTTTATGCTTACTTATTTTTATTTTTTTGGTGCACCGAATCAAATCTAAAATCTAGCTTCTACGTCAAGAAACTAAATAAAACAAAATCTACCAAAAAGAAAAGAAGAAAATTATTATAGAAAACACTAAAAAAAAAAATTCCAAAAAAAACATGCAGATTGATATCGTGATCTACATGTTACCTTACCAATCAAACCTAACATTTAACGTTTTTGTACCTGGTTTCGCTCGAGTTGGGAGCAGCCAATACGGCGTCCCCGATGGTTGTGAAGTTTCCGGTACCATTTTGAGCCACCACGAGATTAAACGTAGTCTCACCCACCGGATCTTGAAGGAATTTCCGGTCACTCCCTGACACCCACATCGGAAATCCAACATTATTCTCTAACTTCCCCGGAATATTCCCCGGAATATTCTCAAGCATAGTTAGTGATTCTCTGACGTGTCTAGATATATTCAAAAGACTCTCCTTCATGCTCTCAGCCACTCCATATGTCTTGTTATCACGATTGGAATTCTCGACGTCGTCGCTATAGTAAAAGCCATCGAGACAAGTTCCTGTATTCGTCATCGCGGCGCTAAGCAACATCTTGACGTCGTGGAGCACCGGAGAAGGAGATCGGAGCTCCGTGATCGCAGTTGTGAGATCAAAGACGGTGTCATCGAATAGCTCGAGACAGTCTTGGAATGCGCAACGGTCGCGATGGCTAATGTTTGAGCCGAGACGGTTTTGAAGATCGGAGAAGTTGGAGGACGAGAGATTGACCTTCGAGATGGTTTGGTTTAAAGTGGCGACGACGAGCTCGGTGATGTTACCGGAGGATGTACAACGCTGCGTTTTGTGGAGGTTTGATGGTGAATAAGACGAAACGACGGTGGATAGGAAGATTAGGAAAAAGGTAAATCGTTGTAAGCTGAAAAATAAAGTGTATCTTGACCCTTTCCTTAGATGAAGATGATTCATTCTATTTAACAAAAATTTGGTAGAAAGGGAGAGAAGCTAAAATGTGAAGTGCAAGGTGAACTTTATATATAAAAAAAACTTCCAACGGTAACCATCATTAACGAATAAGAATGACAAGAAAAAAGAAATTAATTTTTATGTGATTTGTTATGTGTATATATGGAAAGGAATATTATTTCATTCAGATTTTCAATTTTGCTGAACGTGACAGACCAAAACGTCCTTCATAATAAAAGAGTTATGGTAACTGTTTTACATATATATATATATATGCAATATATTTAGTTCCTAAATTTTTACTTCTTTACATATAATAATATTTGAATATTTGAAAGTCTTTGTTCAATTTTTTATATAAAAATTAATATTTTAAAATTATTAATTAATCTAATTGTGTTACGTGTTAAGTTAGTGAGTCAAACATGTAAGACCTTTTTCAATTAGAAAAGGCAAATAAAAAATTAATCAGATAGAATAAGATATTCTATTTATCATAGTGTTAGAAAATAGATATATAAATATTTAAATAATAAAATATCTCAATTAAATGTAATTCAAATAGAAATCTCGATGCTTAAGTATTTAGAAATACGTGATAAAAAATAATTAAAAATAACAAAATTAGTAAATAAATATCCCTCTATGTTCATTTAAGTGATGTTTAAGTAGATTTTCTTTTGTTCCAATTCAGTGATATCATCAATAATTTATGCAAAACTAACTGATTTTTTTTTTTTGAGTCATTGATATACTGAAACTTGTTTTGTTATTGGTGGATTTGTGTTTACACATACAGTAAATGATGTCTTAGTTTGCAAAAATATAATTCTTAAATTATTTTATTTGTGTATAAAAATATTTTTTTTAAATGAAACAAAGGAAGTAGTTGTTAAACTTCTTTTTTAGTGATTTATTTTTGGTATTTTTAATCTCTCCATTAGAAAAAATATATTTTCAATCTCTTTATTCATGAGTGATAATTTTGGTTTTCTATTTTTTGCATTCTCGGTATTTATAGATTATAAAATATCTAATTAGAATGCATTTTTGCATTGTACAATACTACTACAATTTTTTTTATCTATGTTTAAAAATGGGATGTGACAGGATAACAACAGAAATTCTCAATTTATATATTAAATGGTACTATATAAATAATTAAATAAAAATTATCATATAAAAATTCAGAATCAAGAATATTACACATAAATATAAAATGCCCGTTAAACTAAAAAATACATATGTATAGTAAAACCTCTATAAATTAATAATGTTGGGACTCTTAAATTTTATTAATTTATAGAGTTATTAATTAATCGATAAATTAATAATTGTTAATTGAACGATAAATTAATATTTTATTAATTTATAGACTTATAAAAAAATAAAATCAATATTTTCAACAATGTAAAATTCATTCAAAAATGTCATAATAATGAATTTATGATAATTTTTATAAACTTAAAATATTACTATTATCATAGTTTACTATATTATATTATTAATATATATCTAAATGTATAATTATTAATTTATATTATTATTGAGACCATATTTTTACATCGAACTTTCAAAAAAAGTATTAACTTATTATTTTATCGAATTTTGTTAATTTTTACACTGGTCCGATTTGGGATCGACACAAATTATTAATTTATAGTGTTATTAATTTATCGAGTATTAATTTATAGAGGTTCTAATATATGTATTGAATTGGTTATATGTCGAATTAATAAAAGAAAATTTCATAGTGATATTAAAAAAAACTAGAGCTGAGCACTCGGATGTAATTAACGATTGTGTGAATTCGCTCGTTGTGCATGCAAGTAGCCATATTTGAGAATAAAAACACTGAAAGTCTGAAACAAGAGCAAATGGCCCACTCCTCTGCTGCCAACGCAGACAGAAATTAGCATGTGTCAACAATTGCGGGAGAAAAGCATTCCACATTACATACGACACACTAAAAATTATTGGCAAGAAGACGTCGCTACCTTTGATTGAATATATTTGAAAGAAGTGAAGAAGGAGAATTGACCCTAAAAATGTTTCATCAACATATAGTAATACTATCGAAATTATTTGTAACAGTTTATGTGATCAGTTTTACATATTAACTGAATATTTATGTTGTAGGATGAGGACTAGTGAGTTGAACGAACTATCCGAATAATAATCCGATCATATGTCATTAAATTTCAAGATTGATGCTTTTTTTTCCTTCTGATGCGGACGTACGATTGTATATTTGTATAGATTAATTAATTCTGCCCACACACGTCACAGTATAAGTGTAACAAAAACATGATTTAGGATTTGGTTGACTGATTCAATTATCGTCGTGGTAAAAAATATTCTGATCAAACAATACTTGTTTTGAATCAAGGAAAAAAATTTGGAATTTATATTGCGTTTGATTTAGTTCTTTTTTTTTTCAGGATACGTGAATATTGTAATATTGTAATGTCATACGTTTCTTCGTAAGGGATTTCAAAGCTTCCCATAATTCCCATACACGTCGAATTGTGGATGGTATACTGCGTGCTGTTTTTGTCTGTCTATCCGTTGTATTTATGTCGGCATACAAATTAACGAGTGAACCAAAAAGGTCGAGTATAACATGCGTGCCGTTTTTTCTCATTTATGCGTGTCACTTCTATTTACCATAAAGTTTTCCCGTTTATTCAAACTCAAAGCATGGCGCAATTCCTCGCGGGATAAACTCTATTTAGGTAAATATTGAGTTGTCAATTTTTCATTTTTACTACAGAACCGTAAACACAGGAAACTGAATTCAGTTCAACCTCGTAATCGTGATTTAGTTTCAATATACCTTGTTAACAGTGAATAATGAATGCGCTAAGAGCATGAGTATTACACAGTTTCTCAAGAGTTCTTACGACAAAAGAAAAAGAAAAAAAAATGACATGGCAAATCTGTAGAGGAGAGTCTATTCTCTGCATAGAGTTTATAGAATCGACTCTTCTATGGCGTGACAAAATATAATTGGTCAATTTTTTTTTTTAATAATAATATATTATTATGAATCTCTCCTCTGAGTTTTGCAATACTCATGCTTTTAAGTTGAGAATATTTCATGAAACCCAATTGCATTGTCTAAATTTATTTTTAAAAACATTTTTTGAACAATTTATGTGAACAAGGATACTTAGACCATCTCCAATGGGGCCTCCTAATAAGAGGTTCTAACCAAAAAAATCAAAAAAATAAATGAAAACTAATTAATTTCATCAGAGTCGACTTTGAATATGAAAGTTTTAGAGCTGGTAGGAGCCTCATTCTCATTGGTCAATTTAATTAAATGAAAAAAAAAAAATTTGTCCGTCGTCTTGTTTGTTCAGATCGACGACGCCATTTTGCACACACGGCTTCACTTCTTACCTCAACGTTTTCCCCCTGAGATTCCCTTCTGCTTTCTCCTACAAACCAGATCTCTTCCTGGGTAAAGCACTTTCTTCTTCCTCTTTGCTGCTGGATTAGGGTTTTGTTTGTGACTCTAGTTTGATTTGGGTTCCATCAAGTCTCGTTTAATTTGATTGCATTTTCTGGAGAAATTCGTCCACTTTTCTCCCCTTTTCTCACGGGAATTTCGCTCCCTTAGCTTAATTTCAAGGAAAAGATGTAAACACAGCAATTTCAAGCTCAATTTCGTCACTGCATTTTCTGTAAAAAAATTTACTTTCGCTGGTTTTTTTTTTTTCTTTCTCGAGGTTCAAATTTAAAGCTTGATCGGGTGTCATGTCTTTTTTTGTTTCCTTTTCACGAATCATTTGATTGGAAATACCCTTGTTTGTGTCTTCACGTGTATATAGCTATCGTTTTACTTGGATCCTCTCACTATCTTTGAATCAGCTGTTTTATCATTCCTTACTGATACTTAATCGATGCAGGGGGTTTTTTTCACTAGCCGTATCAAGTCATATCGATGTCGTATCAAGTCATATCGAGGTATTGCTTTCCACTAGCCATTTGGTTATAAAATACTGGTTATGGTGTGATATCAGGAAGCTGGGTACATCTTACTAAAAATGCTATGGTATCACCGAACCGCATGTTGTATAGCCTTTGTTTAACTTGAAACTTTGGTGGTTTTCTCATTTCCATAACCTACCTCGATTTGATTGCAATGATTAGGCCATGAAAGTCGCAATTCACTTGAAATGTGGCATATAGTTATTAGGAGTTAAAGCTGTGTTTCATGCTTTTTGAGAATTTTCACTCTTGTTCATGTTTTCATTTGATTTGTTTTTAATATCTACTTAAATTTCCTAAGGGAACTTTTATCCAAAAACGCTACTTTGTTAATACTTGAATTTTATGTGAGGTTTTGAATCTTACATGCATATAGTCTAATCATGTCTTTGGTTCTACAATATGTATGTTCTCTACTTCCTGCCGAAGTAGCTTAGTTGGAAATAATGTCCTCTTAATGCGTCATGTTCATTTCTATGGCAGGGTGGCTGGCAAAACAGTGAAGTCACAGCAGGAAGGCCTCCAGCTCATAGAGATACTGGAAAATCTGTCGCAGCAGAGGATTTACTGAAAAATCTGTCGCAGCAGAGGATTTACTGGAAAATCTGTCGCAGAAAACTGTTTGATCAGAAAGGACGAACATATTCTCTGAATGAACCGGATAACATACAGATAGTTTCCGCAGAGAACTGTGGAGCTCTGTGGTGTGGCTAAGAACATTGATGATCACATCTCTCGCAATTTTCCTCAGGCACCAATTCTCTAGGTAAATCTCTTATCTATCTACTTTAGTCACATCCGTTTATTGCACTAGGACTGCTTTACATTTACTTCTGTCTACATTATACGTATGCTATATGTGATCAATGCTTGCTTGTTTTAGTTTTAGGTAAAGTCATTGATTGTCAACTACACTAACAACAACTTGCTTGTTTTAGTTTTAGGACTGATGATCCAAACCTAGATGCAAACACAATTGATGACCGTAAAGAAAGACGGAAATGGTCACCAGCAGAAGATGTGGTG